ACGTTAGTTCGTATCTATCAGCTGCCTCCTTGCTCCTCCTTCCTGCGTGGTTTCCCTACAGTGATTCTTCACTCGCGGAATCTGTGAATGTGATAAAGTGAGTGTTACGTTAGCTCGACATACGCCACCTCAACTCTTTACAACAGAGACGTAAATTTGCATAATTTAAGTACCAATGTGTTGTAGGGAGTAGGGACACGGCATTTTAGCAAGCCGTGGACGAGCCGCGAGATTTCCAAACCGCTCAAATTATGGGGCTTACGAGCCGCGAGATTTCATATTCACAAAAAAATTGTGGTTTTTGAGCCGCGAAATTTCACAAAAAAGTAGGAGATTTCCTTTCCTGGCTCTAGTTAACAAAAAAATTAACAGCAAAGAATTTTGATTACATTTACCTTGCTCAGCAAAGAAAAAAATTCACTTATCGAAAAATTAGTGCATCATTGGTCATCACAAAATTGTACATAGAATGCTATATATAGAATTGTGCACCGGGCATCATAGAATGAAGAGTAATTGACCTAAACTATGATTTATTTCTTCAAAAGATATGATGTTACTAAAACATTATTTTCTGTTTCAGGTACGTTTTTCATGATCTTTTTTGTTTACAGCAATCCCTTGATTAACTCGGTTAATAAATCCCCGAGTTTTACCGTGTTAAGCAAAACCGCGCTAATCAAACTTAAGAATATATGGGAATAATTATAATGAATCTTCAAAAATAGCAAAGGAAAGGAAAATTATGTAGTTTGATAAAAGTGAGCAGTAGATATGGCAGCGATCTTGACCAGTTGAAGGCTAACGAGTAACTAGCCCTTTACGCACTGAATTATGTTTCGAAAGTGAAAAAACAATCTGAATTACATTTCAGATCACGCGCAGTCTTTGTGTTGTACTGGCAGTAGCGGCGCACCTACTCCATCGAACGTTGTTCGAACGAGTTCACAACATGTGACGCTACCGTCACACTTGTGGCTAGACTCCAAACATGTAATTACTCTCGGTAGAAGCTTTTATTTTCTGTGTGATGAATTTGCCACACCAGGGCTTAAATAGCTAGAGCACCGGCATGGCTCGCTTACCGGCGAACGTTGCCAAACTCGACCATTCAAGTTATGAACGAGACAAGGCGCGGTTAAACCGACTCTGTAGTCAGCACGAGTGCCTACAGAATGGGACCTTATTTAAAGAATTAATGGCTGAAATTGATAAAGTAACAACATTTGGCGAATTTTTCCAAAAGTCGTAACAAAAGTAACAACATAGGATCTAATAAGCAAAAAGTAACACTTTTGTTACGAACGTAACACCTCTGGCTAGAGGCGGGAAAATGATGCGTTGTGAAAAAAAAGTCGCGCTAATCAAAACTGGCACCGCGTAGATTAATGGTAAGTCGCAAATTTTTTTCCGCGGTAATCAAAACCGTGCTAATCAAGGGATTGCTGTAATGAAATCACTAGACTTGATTAAAATTGTGCAAAATTACAAACCATCCTGTGAGCTTACAGATACAGAAGAAATGCTACATGGCTGTGGATATGAAGCTTGCAGTGGACAAGGTCATTGTCAATGCTCAATGGCATGTCCATGGATACATAAATATCATAATAATTTATATGGTAATTAATGAATATGTTAATATCATCAATAAAGGAAAAACAAGTAAAAATCACAAAAAATGTCATTTATTTTACATCTACAATGAAAGAGGAGGACTTCAGAGTACTGTTAGTAATAGATGAGTACACTCTTCATGCTTCAAATGTATGAAATTGGGTTTTATTTCAAGTGTCCCTTTTTACCCCATTTCAAGATTATTTCAGGAGCCTTTTATATTGCGTCTTGCGCCTTACAAATAGCATATTGAATTTTTTTGAAGATGCCATTTGATAGCCCTGGCAAAGAGCTATAAAATGAGCCTAAACTTGTTGTTTCTGAAAGGTTTCATGGTAAGAAGTTATTAATGAAAAACGCTCAAAACCGTCCCTTTTTGCCCCGTTTGACAGTATACAATTTTAATGTTAACCAGTGAGGTAGACCTTATTAGCAACTGAGTGGCAACTGGCATTGATGATTGATGGATGTTGTACCTAAGTACAGTAAGGTACTTGTACCGAGTTGTACAAGTTCAGTACTTTGAACTGTTAGACTAAGTAGAACAGCACATTATACTACTTAATTACTTATCATAGCTATCATCATAATGACATCATAAATGTAAAAGTAAAGGTTTTGGAAAAAGAAATTGAAATTTACATACATTTTAAATTGGTAATAAGAACATCTCTCTTTTTATAGTCAGCAAATTATAAACATATATAACATAACATAGTGATCTCGGCGCTGAAGTGTAGGCCTGATGTGGCCTGTTGCCGATTCTTTTCCTTTTCATGCCTTGTTCTCAGAAGATCTAAAATCATATCATTTGACCGGATCTTTTCATGACTGACAATAGTTTGAAATAGCTACTACTTGACTTCCACTGGGTTTGATATGGTGCTAGGCATTTCAAATCTGAACATATATTTTTCCATAGCTTTATCTAGCCTGTTCTTGAACGCGTCCATACTTGGAGGGCCAACAAAGGCAACGATGTCATCGGGGAGGCTGTTCCACATGTTGGTGATTCAAAGCAAGAAGAAATGTTGGTGCGTGGAGAAGTTGCTGTACAGTTTTTTTAGTTTATAGCTGTGGCCCCTGGTGTTGGTTCTTATAATGCATGTCTGCAACTAACTTTATGCATCTAATTTCTAGATACTACATTTTACTGATCAACAATGTACAAATTACAATTGTTATGATTGATTACTTGTAAAGAATACAAGATGTTTTGATCTTGCTTTATTGCTGGAAACTGGAAAGTTGTGATTTCGTTTTCTTTATCAATTTTCAATAGGTTGTTCCCAGGGTGCTGAAAGTGGGTGAATATCAAAAGATTATTGGTGATGCATCAGCAGCAAAATTTACACCTGCAGAAGATCTTGCTAACACATTTGCATTGAAATTAATTAATGCATTTAAGAAATTACTTTGAAACTATTGCAAATCTGACAGATTGCAAGCGCACACAGTAAGGTTTCTGGCACATTGGATATATCAGGATGCAGTGAAGCTTGTCCTGAATCAGTTGGGATGATGCAGTGCATGTAGAGTAAGGGATATTGAGTGGGGGGAAATAAATATTCGTACACTTGATAAATCGTATTTTAATGTATGTAAGTACACAAACTTAACAGGAAAAGTGATTTAAATTATGTATAGAGACGCATAGTATTCAAAAATACTATCAAAAGAAATTAAATCTCAATGCAACAAAAAACAATGCAACATATTCACTTTTCGGGTGAAAAAAGTATTCGTACAAAACAATAAATCCGCATTATTTTAATTTAATACTTGGTTGAATACCCTTTATTCAGCTCAACAGATACCAGTCTATTTCTATACGTCTCGACCAATGATTTGCAGATGCTGACTGGTATCCTGTAAGCTTACAGATACAGAAGAAATGCTACATGGCTGCTGATATAAGCTTGCAGTGGACAAGGTCGTTATTAATGCTCAGTGGCATGTCCATGCAAACAGTAATATCACATTAATAATAGGGTAATTAATGATTATGGTAATATCATATCAATAAAGGAAAAACAAGTAAAAATCACAGAAAATGTCATTTATTTTACATCTACATCACCGTAAAATGGGGTAACTTAGACCACTTTTTTTATTATAAATGATGCCATTTTTTTACTAGCTAAATTAAACTTGAATTGAAACATGCAAAATACAGGTCTATACTCTAGCTTCACTCACCATAAATTGCTGGCTCCTGCCTCTCATAGTCTTTATGTAATTTCAAAAAAAGTGATGGTCTTTGTTACCCCAGCTCTTGGGGTAACTTAGACCGGGAGGTAAAATCAATTATATTTTTTGGTAAAATAACTCCAAATAACTCCAAGCCTCAGTATTAGGCCTTTAATGCCCATTGACAAAATTTTTCTATGTCAAATAGTTTTTGAGTTGTGGGGGTTTTTGTTAAAAAAACGAAAAGTGGTCTAAGTTACCCTGCCAGTCTAAGTTTCCCCATTTTACGGCATCTAAAATGAAAGAGGAGGACTTCAGAGTACTGTTAGTAATAGATGAGTACACTCTGCATGCTTCAAATGTTTGAAATTGAGTTTTATTTCAAGTGTGCGTTTTTACCCCATTTCAAGATTAATTCAGGAGCCTTTTATATTGTGTCTAGCGCCTTACGAATAGCATATGGATTTTTTTTAAGATGCCATTCGATAGCCCTTGCAAAGAGCTATAAAATGAGCCTAAACTTGTTTCTGAAATATTTCATGGTAAGAAGTTATTAACAAAAAATGCTCAAAACCGTCCCTTTTTACCCCGTTTGACGGTAGAGAATTCGTCTAATGGGAATCTTCCATCTCTAACTCCAGTGCCTCACAATCAAGATTCATACCTTTTTATATGCAGCAGATAAAAATGATCTAATCTGTATCCTATATGGATTGGTTAACAATACCCTAAATCATAGGTTCAAGTAATCAATTGATTCTGATCTGAGTGATAGTTTTTTAGCGCATTTTCTCATTTATGGAAAAAATGCACTATTGTGCTTGCTATGTCTGTCCGTCCATCTGTCCGTGACCTCAAGTTTTTATCGACGAGAAAATGCGCGCTCTGTCACTCACTGCAGTGAGTACTGAGTTATATTTTTTTACAAATTGGTTTGAGGTTGGTATTGCGGTCAAGAGAGAGATATTAATGGTCTTCATAGTTGATCAGGGTGCAAAATGTCAGCCAGTGTCTGAATCTGAAGTTCTTTGGCAATACAGCTGCAGACATTACTATTTATGTATATATTACCTTAGGAAATCTGGCAGCTCATTTGTCTCTTTTTGTATGTTCTTGGCAAAAAAATTTGTGGCCAAGATTATCCTGGGAAACAATCTGGTTTCTAACTTGAGTTATTTGTTCCATGTTAACAGACTCAGCACCATGCCTTCTGATGCCAAAAAGAAGAGGGAGCAGAAAAAGAAAGCAGCTTCCAAACCTCAGGCAAAACCAGCACCCAAGAAGGTTTGTGATCTCATAAAACCTTGTACTGCAAATTTTCTTGAAATTAATAATGACAAAACTCGAATTCTTGAGTTTCTGGTTACTATTTCCAATATAATTATTGTTCATTGAACAGATATTGATAGTCTTGCAATGCGGTATATGGTCAATGAGCTCTTACTGACCTGGGAATTAATTTTTTGTTGGTCTTCATGGTATTGCCATTGCTCTGAGAAGTTTTTTGGGGTGTGATGCATTCCATTACAAGTTTTATGTTAAGGTATTTAGACCCAATACATCTAAAGTGTCATGTTCAGGTATTTAGACTTAATAAATTTAGAGTTTTATGTTGAGGTAATTTACATGCAATTAATTTAGAGTTTTATATTGAGGTATTGAGACTCAATAAATCAAGAGTTTCATGTTGATATTTTTTGACTCTATAAATTTAGTTTTATGTTTAGGTATTTAGATGCAATTAATCAAGAGTTTGTTGTTGAGGTAATGAGACTTGATAAATTTAGAGTTTCATTTGGAAATATTTAGCGATAAATTAAGAGTTTTTTTTCAAAGTATTTAGACTAAATAAATATGTGTATTTCTATATCCATTTTCACAAGGCACAAGATTGGTGAACGCACTCTACCACTCACAATTCAGAATACTACCTATTAGTAATTCTTTTGATACTTATATTCTAAACTTGCCTAACTTCCAAAGCCTGATGGTGAAGAAGCAGCTTCTCAAGAACCCAAAGCAGCAACCAATGGCACTGCAACAAATGGCACGACCCAGCTCAGTGAAGAAGGTAAGACTTATGTTTTATTTTATTGTTAGATTTGGTTTTGTTTGTCCTCCAATACATAATGTCTACATTTACTATCAATCTTACAAATAATTTCTCAATCTGATTGGTTTGCGTACTTTCTATTAGTTCATTCTATTAAATAATTTAATTGATAGATTAATATCTTTTAATATCAAGGGGGACTTCTGACATGTGTCTGTGCGCGTCAAAAGTCCTATGGGATTTCGCGTTCCTAGGGGGATTGTTCCTGAGCGCCCCTCCGCTGAGCTCGCGGTGTCTGACTGCGTGTCTCAGTTGTGGGGTTAAGTTATTATGTAGGTAGGATTCCTTACATTTCTCTTCTCTGTCTCTCTCGTGCGGGCGGCCGACGTCCCGTGTAAGTGACCTCTTGTTCGAGTGTCTTAGTTTCTGTTGCTTTTCACCTGTCCCTCCTTGTCACTTCGTCTCTTTGAGATGCTAACACTGCTTCTTTCGAGCCAGCTTCAGCGGGCTGGACAATTGAGACCTTCTGCCCCTTGTGGGTGATGAATAATTGAGACCTTCCACCTCTATGGTGATGTTCATCTTGACTTTCGGTGCGAGATAGCTAAATAGCTGAAGCGCTAGTAAACATTTGGCCACTAAACTAACTAACTTGGGTTGATATGGTCTGCCTACCTCTTTAAGCTTTTTCCTCAGCTTTGCAAACCCTTAAGGGGGAGCTATATCTTAAAATTTTCGGATTTGGCTTTTCTGGTATTTAGTATCATCTTCAAGCTGACATTCTGCCCTATCCAACGATACCACTGTGATCCCTATACGTGAATTTATGCATTCATGACGGCTCTTTAAAGGGCTTCCTTTAAAGGGTGGGCGAGTTCCTTCACTAATTAGATACAAGCTAACTAACTGCTGAGCATTTTAAATATAGTGTCTGATTGAATTGCGCTTTAGTTACTCGTTTAGTCTCATCTTAAAGCTGACATTCTGAGCTATTCAACGGTACCACTGCCGTATGTGTACGTCAACATTAGCGTACACGACTGCTCTTTAAAGGGGGGCAGGGGGGGGGTTCCTTCAGTAATTAGATGGGGCAAAATTCGCTGGCCAGCACTAGATATATAGTGTTTTCTGGCATCAAGGCTTAGTTACCCGCCTCGCTTCGTACGGAGAAGTGTACTGCAAGTCGCTGCTATCATCCTTGAGTGGAAGCAAGCTACAGAAGCCTGTAGTTTGGTATACATGCTACATTGAGTGCCTATTTCGATACGAGCGGGACTTTGTCGCGCTCTCCTGAAAAGTTTAACTTATTGTCACGGAAAAGCCTACTCCTCCTAGGGTTTTGAAGCTACAGCGATGAGACATATACCATTTGATTCGTAAAGACCATGCCTATTGAGTAACGAAGCTTTTTTTTAGATTTGTGCATAGTTTGGTTTCAAAATGGGGGGAAGGGGGGGGGGAAATCTGAAGAAAATGAAAAAAATGGAAAAATGCGTGTAAAAAAAACTAAGGCATAAATAAAAAATCGGGCTTCGTTGATCAATTTGTATGGTCTTTACACATCGAATGATAAGCATCTCAATATTGTAGCTTGAAAACCCTAGTAGGAGTAGGATTTCTACAGGACCCCGTTTTTTGTCTGTTTTCTATGAATTTCACGTTTTCTATAAATTTTTTCCGAAAAAATCACACGAACAAAATGTGATTCTTTTGCAGTTTTACATATTTGTGTGAAGTCTCAGAAAGATCCGTCCATAAACAAAAAAGTTTTTCTGGAGGGTATACCTTCCCCTAATTAAGGTGTCATGAAATCATTGCATTACTTTGCTAGAGAAAGAATTATTTAAGTAAGTATATGGTGTGAAAATAGTTTCACTTAGCAGTCTCATTGCTGTTGCATAGATTATCATACAGTGATCAAATGGTTATAAATATCATTTTATGAGAAATTTGTGATGAATGAAGAGATGAAATGAATCATTTTACTAATGGAATTTAAGTTCCCTATTCATTATGAATGTTCATCATTTTGAAAATATCCTGATCTAAATACTTGGTAATTGGAATTACCCTCAGCACACAGAAGGTTAAACTACTACAATTTAAGAAATAATATGCAAATATTCATTCAACATATTCTCGGAATCTTTCATTTCCAGCACATTTATGTATCATAAGTATGTAGAATTAACATTTGTTGCATGCAGAGCTGCTATGTCTGAAGTTTGAAGAAGACATGAGGATGGCTGCTGAGGCTCGGTCAGCCACAGGTGTGCGTGCCATCCACCCTCGCGCCAGGGACGTCAAGATTGATGGCTTTTCCATCACTTATCACGGATGTGAGATGCTCAAGGATACCAAGCTTGAGCTCAGTTGTGGCAACAGGTAAACACTTTTCTGCAGATACAACTCTAATCTTCAAATAAATAAAAAATTAGAAAAGAGTAGCCTCATGTGACAACTATTTATCTAATGTGAAGGTTGCTTGAATTAGTAAGACTTTTAGTAAGATTTTAAACTCGACGAATTTAGTTTCATATGTTGGACACAAGTCACATGAAGAGGCTCAGAAACAAAGTGTTAGAACTGGAACATGATTCTATAACTAGATTATCATCTACATTTAATGAATTGAGTTTGTCTTCATTATAAATTTTGAAACTAAGGTATCCAGCTGACTGCTAGATATTCACTTGAAGGGCATATAGGTGGTGCATCCTGCTGTGCCCTCAATGGTGGGGCCAGGAGTTTATTTGCATCCAAAAAATATTCTTCTTTGCCAATTACTGTTGAAGAAACTTAATTTGTGTTTGTGCTCAATAGTATTTCAGCTTGTATGACGAAACTACAATACTCAAACATTTTACTGAGCAAATGTTGGATGCAGTATAGTCTTTGATGATTCCTTTATTTCATTTGAGTGCTAGTCCAGCAAAGATTAGTGAAATGTTTCACTAAATTTATGCTGAGCGAAGAATCAAAGTAATCGGTTGAATTGGAAAACCTAGCATATCTTGTGTGCACCCAATGTACTATTTCAATGTTTGTTTCAGGTACGGTTTGATAGGACCGAACGGGTGCGGCAAGTCAACCATGTTTGCAACAATAGCAGCTCGTGAGATTCCTCTACAGGACCACATTGACGTCTTCTACCTGACGAGGGAGATGCCGGCCTCAGACAAGACAGCCCTGCAGTGTGTCATGGAGGTCGATGCAGAACGCGTCAAACTCGAGGCTCTTGCTGAGGAACTTGCTGCTAATACTGACCAAGGTCTCGTGCAGTTTGATTGAGTGCTGTTCACTTAGCAATTTCAAGCTTCAACTTCTATCTTAAAGAATTTACATTTCCTGAGTTAAAGCCACTTTGAATTGATACTTACTGTTTGCGATGGCTTACAGCTCAAAATAGCTACTGATTTATCAAATAATATCAGTTAATCCAGCCATAATAAGAGTATATTTCAGATATTATAATAAATAACTTGCCTGAGTATAACACCTCTGGTCAGTGATCATCCAACATTACATGGCTTCTCATTCCAATACTATTATGAGCCTTGAATTTACAGGATAAAATTTGTAGTGCTTCTTGTTGGTGCCAAGTTACCCTTACTGTCTGTAAGGTTAACATTGACGTTGTGTTGCACGTCTGTCCATAGATTTAGTACTCTTTTTCGGCATTACCTATTTAAACGACTTACTATTCATTAAAGCAGAGGTTCCCAAACTTTTTCAGGCTGGCGCCCCCCTTGGCTCCCCAGTGAATCTCTAGCGCCCCCCCTCGTTAGAGGGGGGGCGCTTTCTTGATATTTAGTACGCTGCAATTTTGAAAGAGAAAGGTTAAATACAGATCTTTCCGGAGGCCCCCAAAGATCTTTCCACGCCACCAGGGGGGCGATATCGCCCACTTTGGGAACCACTGCATTAAAGTATGATGATTTGTTTCAATTTCTAGTAAAATATTTCGATAATAATTTCAATTCTGTCTCACTTATATCCATTTAAATTGCTTGTCATGAGCAGAATCACAAGACCAGCTCATGGATGTGTACGAGCGTCTGGACGAGCTGGACGCCAGCACAGCTGAAGCAAAGGCCGCTCACATCTTGCGGGGTCTTGGCTTTACTTATCAGATGCAACAAAAGCAAACAAAGGATTTTTCTGGAGGCTGGCGCATGCGCATTGCCTTGGCTCGAGCTCTGTTCCTGAAGCCTCATCTCCTTCTCCTTGACGAGCCCACTAACCACCTTGACTTGGACGCCTGCGTCTGGCTTGAAGAAGAACTCAAAAGCTACCACATGATTCTGGTCATCATCTCCCATTCTCAGGTTTGTTCCTGCTGCTTCAACGCCTATGAGACAACGTCTAGCTAGCAATGTTTGTGTTATTTGTTCTTTCTTGATGTTTGTTTTCATTTATATCCATCTCTACTTTTATTAATGCGTTTTGGTTGAAGTAGTTTATGCATGAGAAAGTATGTGCTTCCCAAATGAAGTCGAGAAAAACTCGTTCACTTGAAATTTCTTAGGTGGTCTTAATTGACAGAGGTAGTCTCTCGTTAATAAAATATAGACTTGATAAACAGACAACCATAGCAAATCTGGGCTCCTGATGTATTGTTATACTATTTTTTATTTACAGTTCCAATAAATTCTTATTATCTTGCAGGACTTCATGAATGGAGTGTGCAACAGGATTATTCATATGACAAAACAGAAGTTGGAATACTACACGGGTAACTACGACGCGTTTGTCAAGACACGTTCTGAGCTGCTGGAGAACCAAATGAAGCAGTACAACTGGGAACAGGACCAAATTGCCCACATGAAGGTGCATTTACTTTTAATTCTATGCTTCTAGATCATTCAATTGCTTTAATTTCGAATTCACTATATTTTCTTTTGAACCTTCAATGAAAATCTAAAAAAATATATTTTCTTCCCATTTTCTTAGCTCCCAAATTCTAACTACATTCTAAGGCCTAGATCGCAACAGTTAACGACGGGTTCTGTTATGTCGTTCCAGATATGTTCGTTAAGATGTTGAATTATTATTATTTTTTTTTCAGCTTAATTTGTAACGTCTTGCTCTGTCCACTAGTCAACTGAAACGAGTCTGGTAATTGACTCAAATGGAAGAATTAACAGTTCCCATACTTCTTGCAGATCTTAAATATGCAAAGCATGTTTGCGTTCCATTTCATTTTTTATCAATATGTTCAATTCATCAGTTTTGAAGTATTATGAAATTAGGCCGCTTGTGTTCTAAGCTACGCTTGTTTCTTGATCAGAACTACATTGCGCGCTTCGGTCACGGCTCGGCTAAGCTGGCGCGACAAGCGCAGTCCAAAGAGAAGACCCTGGCTAAGATGGTGGCTGGGGGGCTCACAGAGAAGGTTGTGGGAGACAAGACTTTGTCTTTCTATTTCTTCAGTTGCGGGAAAATCCCTCCTCCGGTAAGGGTTGGCTATTGGATCTCAAAAGCAAATGCCGCGTTGCACTGTACCATGTACATTACAGCGAACAATAACTCAGTAGTAGATTAAGTTATGAACTTATTTTCAGTGAAATAAAATTTGCTATACCAACTTTTGGCTGCACCTCATGAACCCAAGACAATGCACACCAGCTTGACAAAGGTGCGGATATAAAGTCAAGATTTTGTTTTTGTATGTCTCATCATTATCAGTGCATTTGTGCTATCTTTATTGCCGAGAAAATAATATAATATTGTCATTCTGAAGCATTGTTGGCTGTTATTGCTCATATCGTCAGGGAAGGCAATAAATGCAGAACTTTACAACCACGCACAGGTGATCATGGTTCAGAACGTGAGTTTCCGATACTCGGAGAATACTCCGTGGATTTACCGTAACCTTGAATTTGGTATTGACCTGGACACGCGGCTCGCTCTCGTGGGCCCCAATGGAGCTGGTAAATCAACGCTATTGAAGCTGCTTTATGGCGACCTCACGCCTACCACGGGCATGATCAGGAAAAATTCCCACCTGAAAATAGCGAGGTAAGTTGGACACAAGCTAGCTTCAATTACACCTTAATTTCTTCCATAACTAATAAGTTTTTTTCTTAAAGTTAAGATTGAACGGTGTAGAAAATGTTGATTGCCTTATTAGGTTTCATGGCAATATTTCACCTTTCCATGTGTCATCAAAGTATTGAAGTCGACATGTTAATCTGAATGCCATCTGATACCACTTCATTGCATGTTGAAATCTTTTACTCAACATTAACAAGGTTACTTATATGATTCGTTTGCTGTCGTTTTCAGGTACCACCAGCACTTACACGAGCTGCTTGACTTGGACCTCTCACCAGTCGAGTACATGATGAAACAATTCCCGGAGCTCAAGGAGAGAGACGAGGTGAGTCCCAAGATCCTTGCTTCAAAATACTACACAACCAGACATGAATCTTTACAGTTGATTTATTTAGTCCAATGAATCTACTAAGTAGGTTCATTCATTTCACACAGTGCAATAAATTGGTGGTATTCAATGCAATTGGGCGTGTAATATACGAGTTTTCATATATCAGCCGAGTCATGGGGTTTTTACAATGTTTGCTTTTTGTTGGCTGCTTTCTTGACTGCCCATTTTTTTTTTCTTTAGGTGCATAACGCTGTCTTGTAGGCCCAATATCAATTTTTGAGATATGCTCTGAACGGCGAATTTACATACTTTACTTGGTAAGTTCTTTATGCCCACAGCGTCTTTGACTGAGCTGCGCCACCTTAAGGAATTTTTTTCTAGATTCGTTTATTTGATTTTCATTGCAGGTGCGGAAAATTGTTGGCCGGTACGGGCTGACTGGCAAGATGCAGGTGTCACCCATCCGTCAGCTCTCAGACGGCCAGCGGTGTCGTGTGGTCTTCGCATGGCTGGCTCAGCAGGTCAGTTGAAGGCTCTTCGCGTCTAGTATACATTGAGCTCATAGTCGCTAAGTCAAATTTTTTGTCAATGGTAATGGCTTTTATATTTTTCATTTCTATTTTCTTTCAATATAGCCTGTAGAATGTGTACTTTTCAATGTGCTTTTGGAATGAATGCCATGCCTGTCTTTTGAAAAATAGTGTAGCTTTTAATTTCTGTTAATAATTACTAGCAGATTCTTCAGACAAAATCTTATCACATTTCGTAAATATACATTTGGAACCTGCTGCAATAAATCTTAACTTTTTGCGTGTGATTGGTTCATTTGGAATGATGCAAGTGTCAGCTGAAAGCACGACTACAGTATATTTTGTTATCAAAGTCAACTTCAGAGGTGTTTGCGTTTGCAAAAATTTTTTCACTGTTAATAATCGATCACATTACAAGACAAAGTCAATCGTGAGTTCGATTCAGCATTAAGAGATTTTATGCATTTCTAGTAAGCCAAAGCAGTTCCTTGTACGTTGGTGACAAGTTGAAAGTTTCTGTGCATATCAGCCTTTGCTGAATTCTAATTCTTACTGAAAAATAGTGTTGATATAAAAGTCAATTTCTATCAGCATGCACTTTATTTGTTTATTAGTGGAAATAGCATGATCACTATATTATTTGAAAATACTTGTTATTAATGCAATGAAATAAATGAGATAGGAGTGTTTTAACGAATGACTTACGAGCTAAAATCAATAAACGAGTCTCTTTGTTGAGCAGGTCCCTCACTTGCTACTACTTGACGAACCTACCAATCACTTGGACATCGAGACCATCGACTCGTTGGCGGACGCCATCAGCGACTTCGAGGGCGGCATGGTCCTCGTCTCCCACGACTTCAGACTCATCGATAGGGTGAGACAAGCTCCCGTGTTGATTATGAGCGAGTTGAACCCGTTGTCTACGGCTAAATTAAACGTTGGTAATGATAAACATATCGCAAGGATCCCTAACTACGGTTGGTCTGTAGACTCAGAGCTAAATATAATTCGTTAATTATTCATCAGCGATTGATTTCTAATTTCATTGGCTACAAAAGAATGCTTGTCCTTTGAGCAATACTGTTTGATTTACTCCTGTTCGGATGCTTTTTAGAGCATTTTATCATTTATGGAAAAAATGTACTATTGTGCACGCCACGTCCGTCTGTCCGTCCGTGACTTCACATTTTCCTCGACAAGAAAATGCGCTCTCTGTACCATTCACTGCAGTGAGTACTGACTTACATTTTTTGGATCATGCGTATGACAAAAGTTTTTTTCTTTAACCCATGGCATTGAGTAAGATCCCCATTCTGCAGAGAAAAATCTATTGTTTTAGAAATTGTTGATAGGATATGGAAGTCTTATATGACGACATGAGAGGGAAGAAATCTGATGTCGTACTTTTAATACTTCTCTTTGTTTTGCAGGTTGCTGAAGAAATTTGGATTTGTGAGGACGAGAAAGTGACGAAGTGGACAGGCACCATCGACAAATATAAGGATATGCTTAAAGAGAAAGTTTTGAGCGACGTTAACAGAAAAACGACCACCAAATGATCTTGTTAACTATAGCCCCTTGATTCTAATACTTGTCTGTGCATTCATGTCCCTAGTTTGTTAAAGAGAGCGAACAAGATGTAATTGGACCTATTTTAAGGTCCGAGTATGTGTCTGCTTATTAGGGCTTCTTCGTATAACTTCCTGTAACCATGAACGTGCTTGTTTAGTATCGATTTTCTATGTTTTAATTGATTTAGGCACGCTGAAATGTTACGTGTGTACATAATGCATGTAATGATGTTGATATGTGACATGGCACAAGCTTTAACGATTGTGTTCTCAATTTGTCGCCGCCTTGCGTGCAAGGCGACCTATGATTTTAGAACTGCTATTGAAGTATTGCATAGCTAATTTCTTTGTCAAGCATCCATAATATACCAAATCGACAGGTATAGAACAATACCCTACTTCTGAAGTTCAATAACACTAACACTTCTCAATTTCAATGTTATTTTCAATCTGAATCAATCTCTTATTGTGTATGAACCAGTATTCGCGTATGTGTGGCGTGCATCGGTTGTCCTATTTATTTTGCATGTAGGAGAAAACAAATGCATAACTACGGTACGGAATCTATGCCGAAATTTCGAAGTTTATTTGTAATCACGGGTATATTAGGGGCCCCCGGGGGGATGTAGTTGAGTACTAAATGAATAATTCACTAACGCGTTTGCAACGAGAGCCTAAATTTCTGTTCGTTGTTACGGTCACCTCATGCTCCTATAAGGAGAATAATGTTATAACTGCAGGGTTCTAGTGTCACTTTTTAGCATTTCTCGCGTGGACGTGAAACATTCGGTATAATAAATCCTTTCGCACAGCAATAACCGTTCACGTTGTTTGAATACCTAAATACCTGTTGATGGTTTAGTATATTTTTCATCTCTAGGCAATGAACAAAATCTGTTTTGCTTTATAGTGCAACCAAAGAGGTCGTAAACCGTTTTGAACCCCACAAGCCAGCAGAGTACTGAATATTAACAAGCTCTTCAAGCTGTTACTGTGAATGAAAACAAATAATTACGGCACTCGGGAGCGTAAGGTCATCAGACGGCATCAGTCTACCGATATACTGGGTCCGCCATATTTATGGCAACGCATGTTTTTTTATGTTATTTCTTAATGAAACAAACAGTTGCATTGTTTTTTTTATTGGATGAGCTAGTAACCAAGAATTACCTAAACAATTCCCAGACCTATTTACTCAATATGACCACCCCTATTTTTAATGACGGCCTCCAATCTACGCAGGAAAGCTTCACAGGAGACACGCAGCATTTCTTGAGGGATCAAGTCCCATTCTCGTGTCAATTTAAACTTCAAACTATCCAAAGAACCAAGAGGTGTTCTGCAGACCCTACTCTCTAAAATAGCCCACACAGAAAAGTCGAGAGGATTAAATCAGGGCTTCTTGAGGGTCATTCATTTTTGCTAATGAACGCTGGGATGTGACCCTGAATCCAGTTTTGGGTCATAATTGAGCCACGTGATTGGGCAGAGTCTTGTTGAAAACTCCATGGTGAGCCGTTGAAGTGTTTACGGGCCTAAGGTAACAACGCAGCTTCCAAAATGTCCGAAATGTATCGCTGACTGTTCAACTTTACTCCCGATGGGACAAAAACGAGTGGGGACCTCCCAGTGGCGGTTACCGCGGCCCTAACCATCACGGACATGGGATTTTGACGTCGTATTGCTGTTCTGGTTGCCACAGATCCATCCCGACTCCAAACTCTGTCATTTTGACGGTTAACGCTTTGTTCAATGTCAAATTTTCTCTCGTCACTGAACACCAAGTTGCGCAGCGTGCCATCCTCATTGAGGTCCAGAATGTAATGGCATATTTGGAGCCTCATTAGTTCATGAGTCTGTTAGTTCATGCCTGGTTTGCATCTTGTAAGGGGAGGTTTTTTCGAGGTAATCTGTGAGGACTCTACGCATTGATGTCTGACTGACTCCTGCTTCTGCAGCTGAGCGACGAGGGTTTCTCAACTTCTCCCTCGTGTTTTTGACCAATTGTTTTGGTCGGACACTTCGTTTCCTTCCTTGACCAGGTCGATTGCATGTATCACCAGTTTCCTTGAGTTTTTTACCGCCTTCCACACAATTTCACGACGAATTTGGAGCTTTTTTTGCAATAACTGAATTACTCTCACCCTTTTCATGAAGGGTTACAATTGCATCAATCTATCTACTGGCATAATAGTAAATTTAGACACCTTAGACTTCTGCAATATAAAATAGATTAATTAATAGATGATACTAAGCTTCATTATAAAAGAAAAGTCCCCTAGAAACCAATTTATTTCCTATAGCAAACATCCGTTGCCATAGATAATACGGACCCTGTAGAACCCTACCGTCAATACCATTGGACCCCACTCAGTAGTTACTGCATTTCACTCGCCGGTCGTTGATAGAAAACTTATGATGCTGCGCAGAACTACGATTTGGTTCGATTACCACATAATATATCCGTTTAGGTCGTGCTAGAAACTTATCATTCAATTTTATTCAATTTTACTGATGTGGCGACATGCCACATCAGGCCTACACTCCAGCGCCGAGATCACTATGTTATAATGGATAGTTTCTCTTAATGCCAGGGACGTAAGTGCGGTAGTGACATTGACGGTGGTGCAACTTGGGTGTTCTACCGTTTTCAGACTCACTTGATCACGTATGCTATTCAGCTCAAACCCAACACTCGGCACGTTCGTATCCTGGTTGCAACACGGTAATAACAACCTTTAACGTTATTATTTATTTACTCTTAGCCTGCCTTAAACTGGTTCCTTCGCCCTGGAAGGCATCGAATCCGCTGCCGTCTGTGTCCGTCTTGTCGCTCGGTGTTGACGATCGCGGGGGAGGGCGTCTCCAGAATTTGATTGTCCCCGCCTCGTAATTATAGTCTGGCACCCCGCGCTTCAGCTCCACCTGCGTACACGGTTAACTTCAATATAAAATATAAGCAATAGACAACCAACATTTTCCATCAGCAATTACATATTAACGATAGTTTAATACGCCAGAAGAGCCGTGGTGCAGTTAATTATTGTAGAGGGTCGCCGAATGGTTAAGATCAGTAACATTAGAGCCGCGAGTAAGAGGTTCTTAACTCGCGACTAGTGATTATTCTGGTCTACATCAGCAAGATGGCCGAGCGGTTAAGAATCGGCGACAAGTCAACATGGTCTAATCAGTGCTGACACCACCATACTACACAATAGCACATTATACATCATTATTTAGCCAACCTAAAATAATATTACCCAGATTTATCGGTCATTTATGACCGATATCTATCTATGGACGCGGGAATTGAAGTGATAAACATGCTCACGTTTTGGATGAGCTCCTTGAGAGGCGTCTGGAGGTTCTTCTTCTTGCCGTCCAGCCTGCAGCCGGAGCCCTGGAAGGCCAGGTAGCCCTCACTGCCTGCAGCGGCCACCGCTGCCGCGGTCAGAACCTCCTGCTCTTCCTCTTCCGACTGAAGCATGAAGAAGTCTATATTAATAACGTCACTCGTACTACAACTCACAGCACTGATCCAAATGGCAATTCAGCACTGATCCAAATGGCAACTCACCGCACTGATCCAAATGGCAACTCACAGCACTCTGATCCAAATGGCAACTCACAGCACTGATCCAAATGGCAACTCAGCACTGATCCAAATGGCAACTCACAGCACTCTGATGCAAATGGCAACTCACAGCACTCTGATGCAAATGGCAACTCACAGCACTCTGATCCAAATGGCAACTCACAGCACTGATCCATATGACAACTCACAGCACTGATCCATATGACAACTCACAGCACTGATCCATATAACTCACAGCACTGATCCATATAACTCACAGCACTGATGGCGCCGGAGCTGGCAGCATTAGGGCGCTGTGGCTCCTGGTAGCCGACAGGGGCGGCGAACTCTACGTTCATGTCGCACTCGATGATGCTGACAGCGTTGCCGGGCCGCACCTCCAGCACGCGCATTTCATAGATGCGGTCGTTGTAGTTTATGGCGATCACGTCGTCCGTGGTGAGACATGCGAAGTTCCTGATGCGAAATACATGCCAACAATATTGATGCGAGTTGAATATCGATATAAAATTATATTGATGTGAATAATTGTTTACATAAATTACCATTAATGTGGATGGACATTGGTGTGAATTCACATTGATTTAATATACATATTAAAGTGAACTAAAATAGATGCACTTTCAATACTACCGTAATGTGGAATAATACTGATGTAAATTTATATATATATATATATATATATGTATATACGTTGATTTAACATTTTACACATTGCTTCATGAGAAATTTGATGAAGATTGCCTTAAAATGCTTGTAATATAAATACAAATAAATTAATGGTGATCTAATTTCAATTAATACAAATTCTATCAATTTTACAGAAATGAAATTTTAAATAGTCATTTAAGAAAAAGGTTGCAGAAGAAAAACCAGTTGAGATTGAAGCAGGACCACTCACCTGAGAGCATTTTCAAGTACAGCCTTAGGATTAGTGATGTCAAGGAACTCAACATTCTGAGGTTCAAACTTGGAGAAAGTAGCAACTGGCACAGACACAGACTGAACCTGCACATTATCTCCCTCATCCAGAAGCAGGTTCCGCATCATCTGCTCAATGCATGATGCTAATTAGATTATTTTTGTTTCAATTTGATCAATTATTAGATAGACTGAATCAAACATCAAGTTTGATAAAATAAAGCAATGAGTTATTATTATCAAATTATTGTGTCACAATAATTTGTAGCCAATATCATATAAAACACAACTGTATACTAGTACTATGTTAGATTATAAAACTGATCGTGAAGCATGTCTTTGAAACATTTCCATTACAATGTGGTATATGTGAATTGTGAATATGTATTGTGAACACGGACTATTCCATCTCAAGGATAAATAAGTAGGGAAGAATTGATTTAGCAGGAATAATTTAAACAAAAGTATTAAATTTTTTTGAGTTTTAGTAATTGGAGTTTAAGGAGATATAGAATTTATGTTTGATCTAAAAATGTTTGATTGAAACTAGTAAATGTAAAGGAATTACACGATTGGTCACTTTGGTGTGTAGAGACTTCCTCTCAGATGGTACTAATTAGTTCTTTCTTCTGCAGGAATGTCTCCACACGAATCCAATATCAATACATAATCTTTGAACTTCACTAACTTCCCGTTGTCAAATCCAGAGAAATGTTTGCTACATATGAGGTTAAAAATATTTAGTACTCATGACCAACTCACCCAATATGGAATGTATATTTTTCCTTCATCAGCCACAAACTCGAGGACGCCACAGTGCGTTACTCTCTTGCTGCGGTGGTTAGTCAGTTTGAAGAGCATAGGGTACTCAACATTGAGCCGTGTTAGCTGCTCTAATGCTGATGGTGGCATAATGACTGCCCAGTAAATAGGTAGCAGTAAATTAAAAAATAGATGCAAGAGAATAGCATGAGAATATGGATACTGAACTGTTGCATTCAATTGAAAAATGATTCAGTGGAAAGAAACTTTGAAAATAAATTCAGGCATTTGTGAACAGAAATCTTCTTCTAATTGTAAGGGTTTAATTGATCAATTTGAGATTTGTATATTTAACAATAATAATATCAAATAAAATATGGACTCACTTTTGCCACCGTCTTCAACAGCCTGCTTGTCACTACTGGGGAACATGGACACGGAGTAACATCGGTAATTGGTGTCAAATGGTCGGGGGTTCAGCCCCTCACCAAAGAGATTCAAGGAAAACTGTTGATAAAAAGTTTCATACAGAATTCATGAAATTAGACAACAAATAAGAATAAAATTTGAGATGAAAAATGCAGGCTTGGATATAGCAAGTGCAGAAATGTCTCCAACAGAATTTTTACATCAATACTAATATATGAATTTTTATTAGTATATTATTAGTAATTTTATATTTTATACAAGCTATTAATTTAATGGCCTTTTCATGTACATCAGAGTGAATGATACAAAATTATATTAAGCATGTGACTCATGCAAGAACAAGAAAAAAAAAACATAGAATTTTGAATAGAAATTTTATGCATGGAAGGTTAATTTATCATTTAATGATTAGCACAATGCTAATACTGTGAAAATATTGACATTTTTGGTTCTACAACTACTGTCAATGACACACAAGTCATCTTGTACCATCAAACGGGGTAAAAGGGATAGGTGGGGTAATAAGGGACAGTCATTTTGTAGAAATGTTGTAGCAGTTAAACTAAACAAAATATTGCAAAACTAAAAATAGTGGTGAAAAGTTCAAAATTTTTACTATCTATGCAGCATAAAGCAAGTTGAGAAATCATACATTTATTACCTCTAAAAAATCCCTGAAAAAAGTGTGAAAAGTGAGATTTTGGGAAAGTACCTCTGCTAAGGTCTGTAGCAGAAAAAAATATTTGTCCTATTGAAAAATTTTACTTACATAAAAGTTGCACACTAGTGTTGGCTTAAAAACATGATTGACAGAATTTGCACATCTCACTCAAAGAAAAAATGGTGGCCATTTCCGCAAGACGGGGTAATAAGGGACACCCCCCCAGGGTAATAAGGGATACCATTAAAATTACATTTGCAGTAGAACCTTGGTTAGCAAAGGCTCCAGTTAATGAAAAAATCAATTAACATCAAAGAATTTTTATTACATTTACCTCGCTCAGTGAAAAAAAATGTCACTTTATAAAAAATTACTGCATCAGTCATCACAAAATTGTGCATAGAATGTCACAGATAGAATTGAGCACTGGGCAACAAAGAATGAAAAGTAATTAACCTAAAGTATGATTTATTTCTCCGGAAAATATGTTGGTTGTCACTAAAATATTCCTTCCTGTTTCAGGTGTTTTTTACAATCTTTTTTGTTATAGTGAACCATGGTGCAGAGGGTGGATGCAGCGTCGCCAATATATGGGTTTTTAAGCCCTAAGCGTCGCCGGGTAATTTTAAGATGCATTGCCAGGTAATTTTTAATGAAAAGCCATTTACGCTGAGTAATGAAAAACTATTTACAAGCCACGAACTTATTTACAAGGTTGCATGCACGTGTTACCCCAAATAACTAATTTTACCTAAAAACAGTCTGATTGTACAGCAAGAGTCAACTGAACATGTGATAATGCAGTCTGACCACTCTAATGTGACCGCAACTACGTAATCGTGAACTTGTTGTTTACATTTTTTTGGTGGGAACTCATCGCAACTGATTTCCAGACAAGCTTCACTGCATTTTGATCAATCCAACATACCGGAAACCTTACTTTTTTAAAATAGTTGGCCAAAGACTTCATTTTGATCAATCCAACATACCGGAAACCTTACTTTTTTTAAAATAGTTGGCCAAAGACTGACAAATATATTAAATGATAGAATTTCAATCTAAATGTGTCGGCAAGATCTTCTGAAGCCTGAAGGCATAAATTTTGCTACTGAAGCGAGTGAAGCGTCGCCAAATATCTTGCAATATTCATCCACTCTCTGCACAGTGGATAGTGAAATCACTCGACTTGATTAAAATTGTGCGAAATTACAAACCATTCTGTAAGCTTACAGATACAGAAGAAATGCTACATGGCTGCTGATATAAAGCTTGCAGTGGACAAGGTCATTGTCAATGCTCAATCGCATGTCCATTGATAAAGTAATATCACATTAATAACACAGTAATGTATGGATAAGGTAATATTATATCAATGAAGAAAAACCAGGTAAAAATCACAGAAAATTTAATTTATTCAACATTTACATCATCTACAAAGGAAGAGGAGGACTTCAGAGTACTGTTAGTAATATATTAGTACACTCTGCATGCTTCAAATGTTCAAAATTGAGTTTTATTTCAAGTGTCCCTTTTTACCCCATTTCCAGATTAATTCAGGAGCCTTTTATATTGCGTCTAGCACCTTACAAATAGCATATGGAATTTTTTTGGAGATGCCATACGATAGCCCTTGCAAAGACATTTAAAATGAGCCCAAACTTGTTTATGAAATATTTCATGGTAAGAAGTTTTTAATAAAAAATGCTCAAAACCGTCCCTTTTTACCCTGTTTGACGGTGCAGTCTTAGCAGTTACTGTACTCAACTCACAAGTCATCAATAAGACTATGCAATACTAGTTAGAAAATAAACTTATGTTGCAGGGTTCAATTTATACATAAGAACTTAAAAGTTGTTACGATTGTACTAGAAAAGATTAATTCTGTTTAGCTTACGAAAAAAAAAGATCATTTCTACCATGACATGATAATCTATGGAAGATTGGCAACAGAAGCAGAAGCCACCTGTGAAATGGACAAAAACGCCTGCGAATCTGGCCAATTTTGCCCATTCCATTGGCCTTTCCCAATTTATTTTGTAAAAAGTGAGAAAAATAACTTCTTTTCACGAGCAATTTTACAAAATTTTTCGTGAAACTATAATTTTTACCCCTGATTTTAGTTTAGGCAGCTTCTGCCCAATATTCCAAATTGGCTAAATGCTATGGCAAATTGAGTGGCATTGACAGTAGACTGTCAATAGTCATATTAGTAGGTAGCTGCATAAGAGATGCAATAAACAAAATAAGGCCACTGACAGCCCAACAGTATTGAGAAATTTCCATAAATAATGTCAAGAGGTGAAAAAGGACTCATTAGGTATATCATCATTTACATTTAAAGCATAGAAGCAACAATAAGATGCAGCTCAAGACTTACCATGTTTATGTTTCAGTTGTTTATAAGGTATTGCTGGACAAAAAAAAAATGTATTTATAATACTGTAATCGATTTTTGCTGAAGAATTGATTAGATAGGTAAATATGTTAAATCTGCAAGAGAAAATCACCTATATAATAGGTAAATTTAAATAATTTTACAAAATAAATGGTTACCATATTATTGACAATCACACACACATGACAATTACACATTCTTTATTATTGTCTTGTATTGAAAATATCTTTTAGAGCTGCAACCAGTCTACCAGAGCATTCCAAAATCCAACCAATTTTGGCACTGCAAGATTCTTCGCTTGCTAGATAAATATCTCCTGTATAGTCCCATCTAATAATTTCAAATTATTAACTAAAATGCATCACTGTGCATGGTTCAGGGGTAAAGGTTCAGGTTGTTCAGAACTTCAGCAGTTCAGCCTAATGCCCATGAGCTAATTAATCCATTACAGACTTACAGTGATTCCACTAAGCACTGTGACTGACACAGTGACATTCACTGACTGAGTCAGACTGAACCCTGATGCCGGCATCACTGATGGTGAATCAGTTAGGTAGCTACTAGACACTAGTTATGACACCTAGTCAACGCAACTAAAATTTGTGGTGGTTGACATGTTCAGAGGCAACTAGCTGCAGCTGGTGCGTTGCAGGCGCCAGGCAGAGCAACTCGAGTTATTTTGAAGCAGTCTAGTGTGCCCAGTCGTCATATATATGTATTCATACATACAGACTACACTCTACAGAGCATATCGTTGCTCTCTCTTGCTCACTGTAGTGCGCACAGCTTTAGAGCTCTGGCTTGTCTCCACTGTGCACACCTTCTCTGAAGTTCTCTCTTCTTCTTTGGTTGCTGCTTAAGGGAGCTTTGGAGACAGGTCCATGTAGCCCCAAGACTGTACGAGTTGCAGGTATCTCAGAGCTGGCAGAGAAAATAAACAGCATGGCAGAGACACACAAATGGTGTCTCATAATATACAATCAAGCAAAGAGTCAAGTTTAAGTTCATGACATCATAAACTAGAGGTTGCTTTTACAATGGTGCAAGGGGAGAGAACATTAAATCAAAAAGGTGTTAGTTCCATAGAGAGTGCGTAAGAGTACTTCTTTAAGGTGAGCTGCTAGGTGTTTAGTACCTGGATACTACATGGTACACAGGTGATTACAATGACTTTAGTTTGTTAGTTGAGTGAAGGAAGGTAGAGAAAACCTCTACTATTGCACTTTGAGTCTCTATAGGGAAGGGACCTCCTCCAAGTAAGTTCTTAACAGTAAGATCTACATTGATTGCAGTAAGTGAGAGGGCAAGGCGGTTCCAGGCTAGTCTATGGAGCGGGCAGTAAATGAGCATATGCTCTATTGTTTCAGTATCAGCCCCACATGAGCAATGAGGACTGTCTAATAAGTGGAAGCGTGCAAGGTGTGCATTAACACCTGCATGTCCTAGACGTAATCTAGCAAGGGCTGTTTCTATGATCCTATCCCTGTTTGCTGCCCATGGCCACAGTCCTACCTCACTTCTCACCCTGGTGAGGAAAAGGCCCTTCCCAGTAGCTTGCACATTTCTGAGCCAGACCTGCTGCCAATAGTCCAGAACAGTATGGTGGAGAGATCTTACCATTTCTTCCATGTAGACTAGAGTAAGTGTATGATATCGGAGCTGGTGGGCTTCACTTGCTGCATGATCAGCAGCCTCGTTGCCAGCTATCCCACAATGACCAGGCACAAACTGGAGCTTTATGCTGTGTGAGAGTTGAGAGAATTTAATTTTTCCTGTGTTTTAAACACAAGAGGGGCAAAATTTTGTGGTTTCCTACTCGCGATCAATTGTAGAGAACTCAGGAAATCTGTAAAAACAACAAAATTCCCACTGTCTCTCAGGTTATTTATAGCCCAGTGCAGTGCCTCATGAATAGCAAATACCGTAGCTCAGATTCAAGCACCTGGACCTCAGGACGGAGCTTCCAGCTAAGGACCACCCCTCTGGCTGGAATCACAACAGCAGCCAAAGTTGAGGCCACAGGGTCCTGCACATGGGAGCCATCAGTGTATGCTAAAGTGAAGTCTACATATTTTGTCTGTAGGAGATCATTGTAAATTTGAATGGCGTTATTGGAGGAGGGAGGTTACTGGGGAAAGTTAAAAGTTTGTGAGGACACAGTCTTTGGTGTAGAACCAGGGTGGAAGGGGGGAGATAAGTGAATGCCTTCGTGGGAGAGGTACAGGGAGGTTCAGTTTTGTGAAAGTATTCCTAGCATTTTAAGTGAGAAAGGGAAGGGAGGCAGAATTGAGCGTGAGCATGGAGAGGGCTGAATGTTGTAGGCTGGTTGGAAGAGGTCTCTTATTATTGAGGGTACAGGGAGTTGAATAAGGCGAGCAAAGTGTTTGCACAGTATCTCCAGCCGATGTATGGATAGGGGGGGAACATGGGCTTAAACTTCCAAGGAGGGAGTTAGGGTTGTTTTACAGCAGCCTATAGCCAGGCAAAGGCAAGCATTTTGGATTACGCTCAATTTTGACAGGAGAGTAGGTGATGCACAGGCATAGAGAGGAGCAGCATAATCTAAGCGGCTGAGAACAAGAGTTTTGTACAGTTTGATTAGTAAAGTGCGGTCAGCACCCCAATTCCTGTGTGAGATGGATCGGAGTAGATTAATGATAGGAAGACATGAAGTTGTTAGGGATTCAACATGTGCACCCCATCGCAGTCTGGGAGCATCCAAGACACAACCAAGGTATTTATACTTATGAACTATCTCAATTGGTTGGCCATCAATACTTAAAGGCAGAGGAATAACATGTTTATTTGTGAAGAACATGCATTTAGTTTTGAGAGGATTTAGTTTTAAGCCCCATTGTTGGGACCAGTTATAGAAAGATGCAAGTTGTGTTTGGAGTCGAGCTGTAGCTTGGGCAATGTCAGTATCAGAAGAGTAGAAGGCTACATCGTCTGCATACTCAGCACAGTGTACACCTGGGACTGAAGGAATGTCCGTCATTACTACATTGAAGAGTAATGGAGAAAGGATGGCTCCCTGCGGAACACCACTCTTAATCCTGTGCAGCGAGGAATATTCTCCTTCAAAGAATACTTTAAAAGATCTGTCAGACAGAGTTTCTCAGCCAGCACAGGATCCTGCCCTGTACCCCACACCTGCTCAGCTTATATAAGAGGCCATTATGCCAGACTGTGTCAAATGCGTTACTGAAATCACAAAAGACAACAGCAAGCACGGATTTGGTCCTGAGGCTATCTCGGATGGCTGTGTCTAATCGGGTCACCTGGTCAATTGAAGCTAAGCGAGGTCTGAATCCCCCCTGGCTAGTTCTAAAAGCATTACTCTGTTCTAGAAAAAAGTGCAGACGTTGATTTACCAGTTGTTCCATTAGTTTGGCAACACAGGACAGCAAGGAAATTGGGCGGTATGAGTTAGTGGAGGTAAGGGCCTTGTTGGGTTTGGGAAATGGTATTATTAATGCTGTCTTCCACTCCCATGGAACTGTTCCAGAGGCAAAGCTCTCATTGAAAAGTCTCATTAGCCACATCTTATAGTCAGGAGGAAGGTTAGAAAGATGTTTGTTATGTACATTGTCTTGGCCAGGAGATGTGTTCTTGAGTGAAGTCAGGCAGGTTTCTAGTTCATACAGTGTGAAAGGGGCATTGAGGGGAGAAAAAAGGTCAACACTTAAAGCCAATGCCAGAGGGAGTAGAATATGATTAGGATAAGGAGATGGAGTTGGAGAGGACCTGTTCATAGTGGTCAGCCAAGGCAGCCACCTTGGAAGCAGGATCTGAGAGAATTGAGTTGAGCATTAGGAAAGGTTGCGACTTGCATGTAAATGGAGTTTGCAGTTTCCTCATCTGGCCCCACAACTTGGCAATTGGGGTGTCAGAGGTTATGTTACTACAGAACTTCCTCCATGAGGCCTCCTTTGCTGCCCTGACTTCCCATTTGACTTGAGCCTGACAACAAGTTCTCCTGTGAAGGTTGGGATATGAGTAAAGCTTTTGCTGCTTTACTTGAGTGAACAGCATCAGCACATGCCTGGGACCACCAGACCTTGCTATATTTGGGCGTTACAGCTTCTTTGCTCTGAGGGAAGGCCTTGTTGCTAGCAGATATTATATTTTCTACAAAGTTCCTAGCGCTCTCTGCAAGATTCGAGGGAAGTTCATTATTAGCTGGAGGCAATGCGGAGTACCAAGCTGCCCAGGATCCTGCTTCAAACAGCCATGCAGGGCGGCGCCTGTGCTGGATGGAGGTAGGCTCAACTCCAATGGTGGTGAGGACAGAATAATGGTCACTGCCCATATCAGGTTCAGTGGAAATAAAAGCTACTGGCTGCAAATTGGTTGAAATTATGGTAAGGTCAATGGTGAAAAATGAGTTAAGGTAGGCATTGAAATATGTGGGCAAGTCTGGAGGAGTAAGGAGAGCCAGCATAGGATTTTGTAACAAGACATCCATCAAGTTCCTACCAGTGGTGTTGGGTGCCCTAGAGGGTTCCCACAAGGGGTGATGAGCATTAAAGTCTTCAACAATAATTGCTGAGGGCCCGAACTGTTGAAAATAGTGCTGCAATTCATTAAAGGTGACTGGTTGGTTTGGATTATATATGTTCATTACAGAGAGAGAACTGTTTTTCAGGAAAACCTTAATGCCCTGGACTTCCAGGGCACCAGCAGGAAAAGGTTGGAGAGGAATTTCAAGGAATGAGATGTCACTACGGATTAGTATGGCTAAACCTCCACCCCTCAGTCCACAATCTCTATGCTTAAAGACTGTTGAGTAATTTATAAAATGAGGTTCAGTGTTTTGGTTAAGCCAGGTTTTGCTCAGACAGGCAACATGAGGTTTGGAAGAGTACAGGTGGAGTTTAAAGTTGCTAAGTTTGTTCCTTAGGCTATGGCAGTTCCATTGTTGGATTTTTATTTCTTTTTGGAGAGGCATTTGGGGTTGTCTTCTTGTGCTGCTGAGCCTTTGTGTATTCCTCCCTGGTTCCTGCCTCCAGATACATGTGACTTGGCATCGTGAAATGCAGGGGGGTCAGACTTTATTGAAGCATTTTCCTGGTGCACAAAATGGCCTCCTATGATAGGAGAAGGCTGCACAT